ACCTGCACCAGACAGATCTTACCCCAGGCCTAGCGCCAGAGCTGGTTTTTCTGGTGGTGGCAAGCAGCAAAACCCTAACAGAGATTCCCAGGGAAGAATCTATGCTTGGGGGGCCAGAAGTACTGGGGGGCCCAGGGGTGTGGCCAGAGGGGGTAAAAAGGGTGGGAGTCCTTTTGTAGGAGCCCAAAGAGCAAGAGAGAGGGAGCCTTTGTTTTGTTTGTAAGGGAGGCTTGGTGGCAATTTCCCATCACCTGGAGGGACAGTGACCTCATCTCTGGTTACCTCCACCTTGCACCTGAGATGAATCTGCCCTGAAGTCTTGGGGTGAGATGGGGAGAGAAGCCAGGGGCAACATTCGAATGGGCAGAAGCCCAGAGCCACACACTGACCAAACGCAGCTGAGCCAGACATGCGAAAGCCAAGATAAACGACATCAAAATATTTACTATGTGTGCGGAGTTCCGCAGGATGGGAATTCGGCCTGTGTGTTCAGAGGGTGAGATTTACATGTAATGGTGCACGCATATGTGTTCATCTGCTAACACATAGCTCTTCCCTCTGGGTATAGAAAAGTCAGGATGTGTATGTCCCCGGAGAGAGATGTGAACACATACATGCGTGAAACATGCAAGAAACATGCAAGAAAATAGCTTCACATGCGCATGATAGAAAGATACCACAGACATTCAGACACAAAAGACAGGCAGTTACTCCCTGTCACACAGACACACCTCTGGGACCCCTATGTGTCTGCATCCTTTCATGCGCCAGCAGAAGATGCTGATGGATAAAAAGTCCCTCGAAAGAAAAGATCTTGTTCTCAAACATGTGACTATGGCTGAGTATCTGCAAGGGCCAGCCTCAGTTTCCCCTTTTGAGCTCAAGAGGCCAAGCCTTACACAGAAAGGAAAGTTGGAGCCAAGGAACAGAGTAGGGTGTAGTCAGCTAGCCCAAGCCAGGAATGGAGGACCTGTCTGGGAGCGGGCGGGCGGGGTACACAAAGGGCAGGGCCCCAAAGAGGCCTGAGGGGGGCTGGCCAGGGGTGGGGGAGGCTGAGGGCAGGGATCCCGTCTGGCCAGTTGGGCCTGTTCTCTCCCTTGCGCAAGGTGGTGGTGGCTGTGGCTAGGCCTGCTGCTGTGTGGCAGCTTCTGAGTCACTAAGGCTCCTGACCAGCGTCCTGCTGCTCCTAGAGAGGAGAGGTGGGGGAGAGTCAGGAGGAGAGGAGTGCCCCAGAAGCTGGAGGCCACCAGCCTCAGCAAACACCATGTAGCAGCAGAAGGGTCTGTGGGACTTGGCCTGGCCTGGCTACTACATGCCCATAAGGTGACCTCACCAGGCAGGCGGTGTGTCTCCTTCAGTCTGGTGACATCATCATGCTGACGCCAGGCAGGCACTGGGTGGGGGAGAGGAGGAGACAATCCTGGCCTGCCCTGGCTTGGAAGCCTGGGTTCCCGGGTCCATTTAGCCCAGGACAGGGATACTTGGGCCCAAGTTCTCTTAACTCATCTCTTTATTTAGAAGATGAACTGAAGACCACTGGAAGCGGGGATGCCTCAGCCTGAGATACTTCCACTAAATAGTGGCTTTAGGACAGTGTGGGTTTCGTAGGAACAATTCCAAAGGAACTTTCCTGTTACATTGGGTTCCTCAGTCTGCTCAGTCTGCAAAACTGGGGCTTGTATCTTTAGAATGAGGATCTTGGACTCATGGGTTAGGGACATTGAGGATGGAGACTCAGGCATGTGATGGGTACCAATTCTTTTTTCTTATTTTCTTTTCGAGACAGGGTTTCTCTGTGTAGCTTTGGAGCCTGTCCTGGAACTTGCTCTGTAGACCAGGCTGGCCTCAAACTCAGAGATCTGCCTGCCTCTGCCTCACAAGTGCTAGAATTAAAGGCATGTGCCACCACTGCCCAGCGGATACCCAATTCTTACTGTGCCCTAAGGAGGTATTTTGGGGGATAGCATATATATGATTTGTGGTGGGGGCGGGGGCCAGTGTAGGGATGAAGATGTGAATATACAGGCTTGAGAGATGGCAGTTAAGAGCACTTGTTCTTGCAGAGGACCTAGGTTCAATTCCCAGCACCCACATGGCAGTTAACAGCCACCTGTAACTCCAGTTCCAAGAAATCTGATGCTCTCTTCTAACTTACATGGGCACCAGGCACATAGTATATATATATATGCAAGAAAACATTCATACACATAAAATAAAAATAAATAAAAAAGTAAAAATTTAAGGATGGAAATATGGGATCTGATAGTGTCACAGATATGGTCTTTGGAAGGATTTGTGTCTCCTAGTGGGGCAGGGCTTAGAGTCCCCGTGACCTGCACTCCACATTATTGTGACTTAAATCTACATTAGTGTTTTACAGCAGAGTGAGCTGGAGAGTCCATATCACACCCCACCCCCAGCCTTCTTTGACAACCTTACTCCCTTTAGTGCTAGGAGGAGGTACCTGGGAGGGGTGCAAGTGGTTAGCTGGACTCCCAGGCTGGGCTGGGTGGGACCAATGTCAGCTTAGGCCGGTCAGGGCCCTGGTATCTGGCCCTGCAGGTCTGTCCCGTCCAGTCTGGGGCCCTCCCGACTCCCAGCAGCAGCATCCTTCCCTCTGCTCCTTCTATCAGGGCCACAAGACCCACCCATTTGTCTCCCTGGAACCCTCTGCCTAGTCCATGCTTCATTTCCTCACTACATGCTGCCCATCTCCATCCCCTTCTTCCTCTGTCTGGTCCAGAGAGGCTCCCTTTGTCAGTGAATTCAGACAGCCGGTTTATCTTACCCCCACCCCAAGGTTGCCATGCCAACGCTTTCCGGGCCTAGTCCATCTAAGGGACTGTGCATGCCTCTTGGTTCTACTGTCTTTCTGCTGCCTATCTCTTTCATGCATCTGCTCATCCATTTGTATATTCTTTTTGTTTTTGAGAGGTGGGGATTGAGACATTGTCTCCCTGTTGCCCAGGATGGCCTTGAACCCAAGATCTTCTTGCCTGAACCTCCCCAAGTGTTGGGATTAGAGGTATGGGCTACCATGCCTGGCTTCATTCATTCATTTATTCAGCCAGTCAATTGGACCTCATTCAAGGTCCAATTATGTGACAGGAAGGAGACCACATACCACTGACTGAGCATGAAATCAGAAACCATGTTTTTCATACGTGATACACAGCCCTGTTTTTGACTCTTATAGAGCTCAACGCCTTGGGAAAGGAGAGCAAGAAAACAGGAAGTCTAATCTATAGGTTAAAGTGCTTTGATTGGGGTTAAAGCAGAATGCTAGGGCAGCCAGGGGCAGGGCACCCGAAGCCGCCTGAGGTGGGGGAGGGGAGGGAGGGAGGACTCAGGAGGAAATGATGCCTAAGCAGAGTCCTAAGGCATGAGTAGGAGTTCTCCAGACAGTGATGAGTAGGAGCACCCAGACATTGGGAGGGGAGCATTCCAGGCAGGGGTACAGTGTGAGCAAAGGCAACAGACAACAGGGTGTGTGGGGTACCGGTAAGAGGCAGGGACTACAAAGAGTTGGATGCTCTAAGCGGGAGCCCTCGCCATCCCACTCTTCTGCCCTGGCCCGGCCCCTGGCCCGGCCCCTGGCCCTGGGTTTTCTTTGTTTTTTCATAACCATAGGCATTTCCAGGCACAACCTCCGTTATCAGTTCCTCGTCCCAGACATCCAGTTATCTTTGAGTCTTCCCTGTTTCTCACCTCTCTCTAGTCGGTGACCCCCCCCCCATGTCCCTTTTATCTGCCCAGTACCACCTTACCAGGGATGCGGCTATGGCCTCATGGTATCTACCTTAGTCTCCTTCCATGACCTGTTTTCTGGTCAGAAAACATGTTGTCACCTGCTTTGTGCCACTTGCTGGCTAGGGAAGCTTTGGTGACTCTCCATTTCCTCTTGACCAAATTTGAATTCTTCTTCCTGGCAATGGGCAGTCTTGGGCTATTTGGACCCACCCTATCTCAGCTATATTTTCCACTGATGCTCAACACACACACCCTACCTTAGGTTGGGTCCTCTTCTCTTTGCTTCCTGAACCAGCAGCCAGGCTCCCCACTTCCTTAGTGATTGCTTACCTTGACCTGTATCTATAATGCCTTTCTATGTGTCCCGGGCCTCCTGATCCCACCCAACTCATACATGAAGCCCTCCCTATGACTCCCACATCCCTCAAACAACCTACGACAAGTCATCAAACACTAAACCAGAAACCATCATTGCAAGTCAGGTGTGGTGGTGCATCCAGAAATCCAAGCCCTCTGGAGGCTAGAGCAGGAGAACAGTGAGTTTGAAGCCAGCCTGGAAGGCTACATAATTAGACACTGTCTTAAAAAGAAAGAGGAGGGGCTGGAGAGATGGCTCAGCAGTTAAGAGCACTGGCTGCTCTTCCAGAGGACCCAGGTTCAATTCCCAGCACCCACATGGCAGCTAACAACTGTCTGTAACTCCAGTTCCCTGGGATCTGATGTCTTCACACCAATGCACATTAAATAAAGTTAAATAAATTATAAAAAAAAAGAGAGAGAGAAGAAGAGAAGGAGGAGAGAGAGGAAAAAAAAAGAAATCATTGCATAATTCCACACCTGTCTATTAGTAGATCGATGATTGATAGATATATAGATGTATAGATAGATAGATAGATAGATAGATAGATAGATAGATAGATAGATGTCTACCATTTGAATTTCTTCCTCCTAAACAGACCTTGGTTCTATGAGGGCAGGAAATAGATCTTTATTTGCCAATAAGGTTATGTAATAGACAAATCTAATTTCAAAATTTCCAAATGCTTCATACAGCTGCTCATCGATTACCAAAACACTAGTCCTTCATCCCTGGTCCTGTGATTCTGGCTCAACCTTCTGACACAGTTGCTGTGTGCCTGCCCTGACCTCATCTCTCCAGGCCCCTGACCTGGGGGCCCTTTCTGTCTTCAGTGACTTGCTGGTTCCTGCCCCTAAACCTCAGTTCATGCCATTCCTCCCACATGGAATACCTCCTTCTCTCTGGGAATCCAGGCCTCTCATCTTCAAGCCATGTGAAAAATGTTCTCAAGGGCCACTCAGGATGGACTTCGGCCTCCCCAAATGCCCCATTCCAGGCACCAAACGTTCTCAACCTTTTCAGTTGCTCCTCACCGTTCTTTCCCAAAGCGTTCACGTTTACTTTTACCCCACTTGGTAGATTGGGCCTCCTGTGAAATTCGTCCCTGGTTTCCTGGTTCTATGTGCAGAGAGAGATTCCATTTCCTGGAAGGTTGTGAGCTCCTTGAGGGCAGGAGCTATGTTTCTGGTCCTGTTAGGGCTTCTTTGCTCAAATAGAATCCTAGGCTGCAAAAGGGTGAGTCTTCCATAAATCATCTCTGTGGCCTTAGGCAAGCCGCTTCCCTCTGGATCTCAGCTTCCTTCTCTGTTACATGGCGATAATAACGCCTACCTCTTGGGAATGTTGTGTGGATCTAATGAGGTAATGGACTGAATGCGCTTCGCAAGCACAAACCGCTCCAGTTCCGGCTGCCTTTGCTGTCATTATCATTTTGATTGCGGTCCCTTGGTTCTGGCAGCCCCCCTCAGCCTGACTGCTTTTGTCTGCCCCCTGCAGGCCGATGCCCCGCGGGTGAGCTGGAGACCTCGGACTTAGTGACAGTGGTGCTGGGCCAGGACGCAAAATTGCCATGCTTCTACCGAGGGGATCCGGAGGAGCAGGTGGGGCAAGTGGCATGGGCTCGGGTGGACCCAAACGAGGGCCCCCGGGAGCTGGCCCTACTGCACTCCAAATACGGGCTTCATGTGAGCCCCGCCTATGAGGACCGCGTGGAGCAACCACCGCCCCCACGAGACCCTCTGGATGGCTCCGTGCTCCTGCGCAACGCTGTGCAAGCTGATGAGGGCGAGTATGAGTGCAGAGTCAGCACCTTCCCGGCCGGCAGCTTCCAGGCACGGATGCGGCTCCGTGTTCTGGGTAAGGAGCGCCAGCTGGGCATGATCAGGATTGGGTGGGGGTGGGTGGGTGGGTGGGAGGAGACAGGACAGGACTGCAGAGATGGATGGGGCAGAGGCAGAACAGGCAGACATAAAAGATAAGGCCCCCATAGGGGTGAGGGAGGATTACCCAGCCCCTCCCACCCAATCCATAAATTCTCTCCAAAAGCCGCCAAAGCTGGGGAATAGTACATATTTTAGGAAGCTGTCCTTCTGATGGCCCGAATTTTACCCTGTACACCTTTGTCCTTCTGGAGCAGTATAGCATGGACTTACTCTTCTGAACAGCTTTTCAAAGAGCTGAAAACCTCTGCCAGACTCTCCTTAAAGCCCCTCTTTTCCAAGCTGCCCTTTACTGATTCTACAAAAGACATCAACGCAAAGCCTCCTTCATCATCCTAAGCGCTTTGGTTTTAAAATGTGGGAGTCCCAAATGTGGACATGAGGTCCAGCTGTGATGTGGCTGTACGTGAGCAGGGGGGTAAATATAGTCCTTGATTGGGCCTTCGGTGAATGTCGTCTAAGACCACATTCACGTTTTAAACCACTACCTTGCACCCATGGGCAGAGGAGCTGGTCAACTGGACCTATGATTCTATTTATTGTCTTTTCAATTTTGTGCTTGGTTGTTTTGAAGCTAGAAGTAAAAACAAACAAACAAAGACACAAATAAATTTTGCTTTGGGCTATTTTGAAGGTAAAAATAAGAGCCTTTATGGTTTTGCTTTGAGTAGAGATTAGTAACATAAGCCTTGGAGGGAACAAAACAAAACTAAACCTGAGTGTAAAAAAAAGCTGGGCATAGTGATGCATATCTATACTTATACTGCTCCAGAAGCTGAGTCAGGAGGATAGAGAATTTGAGGCCGACACACACACCCCAAAGCAAAATCTATGACTCTAGGTTTTGTCACTTAAGAGCTGATGACCTGGAACAAATCAGTGAGTCTCCCTGAGCTTTGCTTTCCTCATCTGAAGAACAGGCATAATAATACCCACCTCACAAGTTTGTTAGCAGAATTAAATGAGATAATGTATGCAAAATATTTAGCATAATAGTTGATACATAGTAAGTAGTGGTTATTATTGTTATTATTACACAGATAGTATCTAATTAGTTCTAAAACTATTTTTATTTTTTTAAAATGACCTATGCACATAGTAAAAAATTCTAATAGTGAAGAAAGATGTAAAGACACTTGAAATTACACCACTGATCTGTCACTTTTATTGGTAAGATAAGAAAAGGGGACTGAAGTTTGCAACTGGGTAAGACTGAGAGAGATCTCCTGACCACAACTGTGCACATCTTTCACACACCCCTTCCCCTCATCCACAGTGCCTCCTCTGCCTTCACTGAATCCTGGCCCACCACTAGAAGAGGGACAAGGCCTGACACTGGCAGCCTCTTGCACTGCAGAGGGCAGCCCAGCTCCCAGTGTGACCTGGGACACAGAGGTCAAAGGTACACAGTCCAGCCGCTCCTTCAAGCACTCCCGCTCAGCAGCTGTCACTTCAGAATTTCACCTGGTGCCTAGCCGAAGCATGAATGGGCAGCCACTTACCTGTGTGGTGTCTCACCCTGGCCTGCTCCAGGACCAGAGAATCACCCTCACCCTCCAAGTGGCCTGTGAGTATTGGGATAGATGGGTAAGATATTCCTATGTATCCCTACGTTCTGAAAACAGTAATAAGACACTATGACCCTGAACCATGCCAGGAGGGTCAGCCTGAGTCTGGGAGTCCACAGTCTAATCCAAAGACAGAAGACTTGGGGGCCAACCTAGATGTCCTGGGAAAATCACTGGGGTCTCTGTGAGCCTTTGTTTGTTTGTTTGGTTAGTGTTTTGTTTTGTTTTGAGACAGGGTTTCCCTGTGTAGTCCTGAAACTAGTTCTGTAGACCAGACTGGCCTCAAACTCACAGAGATCCCTCTGCCTCTGCTGGGATTAAAGGCATGTGCCATCACCACCTGGTGTCTCTGTGAGCTTTATAGAAGAGACTGCCTTATTTTTACAGTGTTGATGGGAGAATAAAATATAAATATAGAAGTGAAGGTGTTTGCAAAATATACGGTTTAGGGTTTGGAGATAGGCTTGGGACAAGCCCCCATTCCGCTATTTACCAACAGGTATTTAATCTTGTTAGACTTCATTTTCTTCACCAGCAAATGAGTGTGATTATACCAACTTTACCCGATTTTGATGAGAATTAGCATCCATGAATGCAAAACATCTCACAGATTTTAAATCCTACAAGGGTTCAGTAAATGATAGCGTGTTCCCAGCATTAGACTTCAAGCCCAGGCTACACTATCATCTGGCACAAAGGAGGAAATCACAAATGTTTGTTAGAGAAATGGACAAACTGGTGGGTTGTCAGGCATTTAGTGAGCACCTGCTCTGTGAGCAGCACTATGCTAAGGCGCCAGGGAAGATTCAGGGAGAGTGTGAAACTCCATCACCTCAAGGGACGTGTCAAGCAAAATAGACTCTGAGCTGGGGTGTGTGTGTGTGGCCAGGAGCTGTGGGTGAGGGTAAAGGGAAGCTGTTCCAGCAAGGCAAGAGGGCCTTCAAAGAATCACGGCTTAAGGCCTCTTCCCATTCTTCCTCCTGCCTCCTCCCACTCCAGTCCTTGCAGAGGCCTCTGTGAGGGGCCTTGAGGACCAGAACTTGTGGCACGTTGGCCGAGAAGGAGCTACACTGAAATGCCTGAGTGAAGGACAGCCCCCTCCCTCGTACAACTGGACACGGTAAGGGCCTATACCTGGAGAAAGGAAGGCCTAGCTCGGGACTGTCATCCTTTTCTTTTCAGGGCCAGGGTGAGCTCATTATGTGCTAGGACCACATGCTGAACCCTAGATAAGTTAGGACATATGTTCAGACCAACATAAAAATATGCATAGCCGCTGGGCGGTGGTGGTGCACGTCTTTAATCCCAGCACTCAGGAGGCAGAAGCAGGCAGAGCTTTGTGAGTTCGAGGCCAGCCTGGTCTACAGAGTGAGATCCAGGACATGCACCAAAACTGCACAGAGAAACCCTGTCTCGAAAAACAAAAACAAAAAAACAAAAAAAATGCGTAGTCAGTAAATATTACTGGCTTGTTCCAGGGAATGTGTGGTTACCCACAGAGAATACGTAGCTATCTTCTTGGCTTTCCCCCGCTAACTTTAAACTATGAAATATAACTACAGTAAATATTAATCTTTTACATATTTGTGAGTGCTAAAAGTCCATGAGACAAAAAGACAGCTGACTAGAACTCTCTGTTATACCAACGCTCCTTGTAACAATGTTGCCAGCACCTCAGAAACTCCCACCCACTTCCACCAGTTCTTTCAAGAGTCCAGAGCATTGGAAAGGGGTGGGTAGGACACCCATGTGTGTGAGTCTATGATAGGAATGTTCTTACATGTGGACATGTGAATGACACATGTGGCCTTGTGCCTGGGGCTAGGTTTGTTTACTCCACTATGCAATATCATAGGTGTTGGAGCATGCAGTCACAGTTTCCAAGTACCTCTGAGCCCAGCTAGGAGTGGAGTGTCCTGTTGTGTGGACTTTGTAGCATGTATACCTGTTACCTGGTGCTGGATGACGTGATGCCTGTGGGAGCATGTGGGATGGCACGCGTGTGGATCTTCCCCAAGTGTGTGTGGGGGTGCCCGGGTCAGGCTGGGCGGCAGGGAGAAAGGGCCTCTGCCTAGACCTGCCTGGGGTAGGGAGGGGCACCGTGGGAACAGCCTGAGGCTCTGGATGACGTCATGGGGAAGGGGATGAAGAGCTGCCTGGGCACGTTGGGTGGTGGCAGCCTTAGCCTGCCCCAGCCGGCACCCTTCAGCTTCCCTGTCCTTCAGGCTGGATGGACCTCTGCCTAGTGGGGTGCGAGCGAAAGGGGACACTCTGGGCTTTCCCCGACTGACTCCTGAGCACAGTGGCATCTACGTCTGCCATGTCAGCAATGAACTTTCCTCGAGGGATTCTCAGGTCACCGTGGAAGTTCTTGGTAGGCACAGTGGTTGGGGGACAAAGACAGGGATGCTGAGTTCAGAGCCGGGGGTGGGCAACAGGAAGCAAGACAGAGAAAGAAATGGGAAAGAACGTCTTTGGAGATGACGGATATTATATTTTGGAGAGAGTTAAGCTGAGTGGGTAGCTGTGGATGTGTTCTGTGAGGATAATAATTGGGTAGCGATGGGATCTGGGGTGGCTCCAGAAAGGATCTGGGCACGCGCCTCAGACATTGGCCTGTCTCCAGCAGACCCTCAAGATCCAGGGAAGCAAGTGGACCTCGTGTCGGCCTCAGTGGTGGTGGTGGGTGTGATCGCTGCGCTCTTGTTCTGCCTCCTGGTGGTGGTGGTGGTCCTCATGTCCCGGTATCACCGGCGGAAAGCGCAGCAGATGACCCAGAAATAGTGAGTACTGGCTACACCGGGTGGGTGGAAGCGAGCTGAGGACAGAGATGAGTGAAGCAGGAGGTGGACAGAGGAGAAAGGGCACTGGGTCCCGAGATGGGCAAAGTCTTTGGGGGCGTGAGGAAAGCCTGGGACCTGGACCACAGCTGGATGAGGAGCCATGTGCCTGAGAGAAGCACACATCCGTACTCCCCAGGTATCATCTCCTCCGCATACTTTAGCGCTATGTGGCACACCCACGCGTTGCAGCCACGCTGTCATCGGCAGCCACATACTCAGTGGCAGGCACCATTGGGCAGTCATCTTACACAGGCTCAGCCAGGC